AATTTAATACCTTTTAAGACCTTTTTTAGGACCCTTTCCATACATTTTAAGACCTCATCGCAACTTTGAGTTCTAACCGGTTACATTGGCAACACACTTTACTATATTGAATGTAAGATAGCAAAACTAAACAGAGTGCAGACAGACTACTGAAGCCTCCTTTCCACATGAACTTCAACCTCTCTGTGAAGGTCAGGTTTAATGCAGTATGCTGCTTTGTTGCTTCTGTAGACTGTACTCTTTCATTCCAGTAAAACTCATCAGAAACCAGTATTTGACCAATAAACAAAACAATTGACAAAACTTTGAACTATGAAATATATTAAACTTTGGTGAGCTTCAGCGGGGTAATGCCATATAGGAGCTCCCTCACAAATACCCAGGGGTTAAATTGGGCTGGGGCTGTCCGGGGCTAAGCCCTGGCACATAGGACGATGCTCTGACGTCATCACCCTCACACATTTGTCATATGTTTACAAAAAAGGATATATATGTTAAGACTTTTCTCGTTCTTAATATAGACTATATTTAGGGTCTATATGTGTTGACTTTACTTTAAAATAGCAGATCTCTGTGACCGGATATAGTTTGGCTTAGACCCCGGCCCCACACGGACCATAGTAAAACGCATACGCAAATGCAAAAAAGTCTTCCGTTCACACGCATTTGATTCATTAACGTGTCCGTTCACACTAGACCGCTGGAAATGCTGGAAACGATGTAGTACATATGCCAGGCCTGTAAGTGGCGCTGCTGCCGCCCGAAATACACCAAAAGCAGCGAAGAAGACCCCGGAGCATGGTTGCCATGGTTGCCCTTCTGTTTATTCTCCGCGGTGGACGGCGTGTTCTCCTGCTGTTATCTCTCAGGTAGTCCACCAGCAGATGAAAAACACCCACCTCTCCGCCTCTTCCAAGGAACGAGGGGACCGTGCGGCAGAGTTTCCGTTAAAAAAATGTTCCGCCGGTCAACATGTCCGTTAAAGTTTAAATCTTCCGTACAAAATTAGAAAGTGCCGGTCAGAGGTCTTCTTTATTATTTATTGAGCTTTAAAACAAATTGATAACGACTCTGTTCTCTGTATAATAATATAATAATATTTAATAAACGGTGCCTGCCTCTCTTTTCCTCCCCCTCTTCTGACAGCCCAGCAGCAGCAGGAGACGTGGGGAGAGGGAGGTGGGGCTATTTCATCGTTATCAGAAAATGATCATATAGGGCTTACACATGGAGCCGTTGGACCCCCAGAGCGTTGCGTATGCCGGTCTACCCACCTTGGGACCCGTTATCGTTACCGTAGTCGTTTAGTGCCCCCCCACAGAGCGGAGCAAGGCAACGAAACTTAAAATAAGAAGCAGCATTTTACGGCGCACTATGCATGGGGCCGCCTTGGGGGGTTTCCCGACATGTCGTTTCAGTAAATTAAAGGGTGTTTCATGTTGTCGTTGCTGTGGACCTTCTTAATACCTTGGAAAATGCCGTTTAATACTTTTTAATAGCCTTAATTTTCGCTAAATTGATTTATCAACTTTTAATACTTTTTAAGACCCCGCGGACACCCTGAATTATGATCTAAAAGCTTTGCTATATTTCTGAGGTTCAGTAGTAGTCCACCCTTGAAGAGTTTTATGAATGTCAATCATGGAGTTAGGCTAAACACATTTTTTAGAACTAATTTACTGATAACTTTAAGTTGCTTTTTGTTTTTGCACAAATACAAAAAAATACCGTCTTTTATTTCAATATTCAAACTACAGAGTGTCTTATTCTGTGACTCTGCTGTACATATCCAGTAACTCTTCCATCAGAATGTCCATTTGAAGATTTCATTTCTAAAATGAATGCATTTATTTTAATGTATGCGTTACCTCTGTGAGCTCTAACTTCATTTGCACTTCTTGAATTAACTGTTCAGTATGAACATCTGAAATTGTTACCAAGTAAATGTGTGAAGTAGAATGTCTTTGTGCTGTCCAACCTCCTGCCTCTTTAGAAATGAGCCACGGAGCAGTATTTGTCCTCACTGGTAGCACGCAGCAGCAGAGTAAATGTGTCACAGATGTCAGTTAAAAGGTAACTCACTAAGAGACGTGACGTCCACCAGCATGAAGTACCCCCCCTCTGGAATGACAGGGGTCATGCCGGCGTCCTGCAGGATGGCAGCCATGCGGTCCCTCTTCAGCTCCAGCTCCTCTGGCAGCGAGGAGAAGTAGCACTCCGGCTGCCCCATCAGCTCCAGGTTCCTCTGGAAGCCCTGAGCCACCGCCTCCTGGGGACAGACAGATACAAGTGTCAGAGTAAATACTCTGACAATGATTGGTCAGGAACCTGTGTTAGAGCTGCACACTTGCCTGTAGCGGTGTGGGGCAGGTGTACATGGTGTTCTGCATGACTGTCTGGAGATGCTTTATCAAGTGCTCAGGTCCTACAGACCAGCCCAGCTAGGAGACAACAACATCAATAAGTGCAAGAACTGATTTGTGAATATTCAAAATGGTGTTCTAAATAAACTTTTGTTTTACCTTCCATCCTGTGACACTGAATGTTTTTCCTGCACTGCCGATAGTGATTGTTCGATCCCACATTCCAGGAAGAGTGGCTGTAGAGACAGAAAACAGGTAATTGAAAACAGGGAAAAAGGTCAGAATGACATATCATCTTTTAATGCCAAAACTTCATGCAAAAGTATACAATCATACAAGAATATTAGCCTCAAATAAGCGAAAAAAATGTAAGTGCTATATGCAATATTTATATATATACAGGGCTCGACATTAAGGACTGCCCGATGGCCCGGGGCCATCTAGTATTTAGCTCGGGCAATGAAGCCTCACATTTTGAAAGGAACTGGCTGGTTTAACTCGGATAAATTCCATTCATCGTTGCAACTCAAATGTTTCAACAGCCTTTTCTTGTAGCTTTTGTCCCTTTTTCTGGCAGAGGTGCTGGGTCAATGTGTCAAGTTACTCCCTGTGTTTGCTAGCTTTATGGTAAATGGCATAACACTTCTCTCTGTTAGCTCCAGAGCAACTGGTTAGCTTGTTGCAATTACCAAGCCTCCCATTACCTTGGTGGAACATTGTTACTGGCTAGGGCTAGTGAGCTAGCTAGCATGAGACCAGATAGCTTGGCAGTCAGCCAAGAGTAGCTGCTTTTTTCAAGGTTTCCATCCCTGTAGCTGTTTGTAAAGGATCTTAAGATGGATAACAGTGCTCTACTCTTTTTGTACAGTGGGTATGTTGAACGTACCAATTTTGACATGTTGATGTCCTCTGTAGATCAGCCACTCATAAACCTCATCACTGAAGCACAGAGTGTCGTGTTTGATACAGAGGTCAGCGATCATCTGCAGCTCGTCCCTGGAGAAGATCTGCAGGGATACGACAGGAACTACTGAGAGCTTTGTTTTCCCATCATGTTAGCAATCATTTACATATCTCAGATGAAACAGGTAATGGCTGTGATGTAGACTTACCTTCCCAATGGGATTGTTGGGGGTGTTGATGATGATGGCCTTTGTCTTGGAGTTGAATTTACTGGAGAGCTCCTCTGGATCAAGAAACCAGTCGGCACTTGTTCCTGTCTTGTTCCCGGACTTCTGAAATGTATGTAATGTAAGAAATGTTGTGTCATGGCTCCTATAATGTATTAATATCCTTAAGATATGCAGTAAGTAAAGTAACTACTTTACTACTATAAAAGTGGAAGATGTATGTTTAGGTTTAACTTACAAGGCGTAGCGGTATTAGCACAGGCTTGCCCCCCGCCATCCGTACCATGGGTACATAACAGTCGAAGAAAGGCTCGATTATGATAACCTCAGGAATGAAACAGTGTACATAAATATAACAAATTACAGGGAGCATGTTTGTAAATGTTTATGGTTTTAAACACCTGTCCTTACCTCGTCTCCCTCGTCCACCAGCCCCTGCATGGTGCTGAATAAAGAACCGTAACCTCCCACTGTCACCAGGATCTCTTTGAAGGGGTCGATATGCCGCCCGCAGACCTTCCCATAGACCTGAGACAGAGCTTTCACCAAAGATGGGTGACCCTTGCAAATCAACAAGAGACAAAAGTTTAAGAACAAGCGGGTTTCTGGCAGTAGCAAATACTGTATGTTAGGGAATAGTGTATTGTAAAAAATGTAACATACTTAGGGCTGTACCGAATAGTTAAAAGCTTCAGAGCTTCGTTTATAACGTTAATATTTGATTCCTAAATAAATATTTTTAGATATTCCCATGAATAGTGTGTAAAGACAGTATTGTTGCAGATTAAGATGAAGCTCTAGTGGAATTACAATTAAAATTAGTTTCCGGTACGATTGACTCAGACTTATGATTTTCAAAGAGTCAAAAAGTCAACATTCATATAGAAAATAACTAAATATCCTGCTTCAATCCATATTTGTTAACGCTCAAAACTGTGTGCTCTGCTGTTTCCCACATCTGTACTAATGGGGATGTGCAGCAGCAGTAGAACTGCACCAACAATTACACTTCCATATAATGACAAAGGGTAGTTTTGTTATGGACAGATATTCTGCGCTTAATTGAAAACCTCAACAGAAGTTTAAAAAAAAATGAAAAAATGTACAGCCTAATCACTAGATTTATGGTTAAACAGAAAGTATTAAACTCTTTCTCCATTATCTCAGCAACACTTTTCCTTTTTAAATGGATTCAAAATAGATAATGATGGGTACTAAAAACATTTTTGTGAGGGTAGTAGTTGATTATGATCGAGTGTGTACAGTTAGTGTATAAGTCGTACAAAGCCTCGGGTGTACTGGTTCATCCGGTCCACTGAAGAAGCCTCTGCTAGGGCCTCCTTGACGTAAGAAGGCGGGGGGATATCTGGAAAGCCCTGACCCAGGTTAACAATGGACGGGTCCGCTGCCACTGAAGTGAACGCCACCCTGATCATAAATAAATATAATAAAATAGGCCATTACAAGACATTACACATGTGACTACGGATAAGTATGTCATACAACCTGACATTAAACTATCAAAAGTATCCCTTTAATACCCCAGAATGAAAGAGACAAAGTAAACTTGTTATACAAATACATCTGTCATTTAGTAAAAACTTTCTTCACATTTTGTGTAAAATTAGACAGCATAAAGAATATAGGTCTACTGTACCTAACACCCTCACTGAGAGACTGACTTAGCTCTTGTATACAATCAGAAATATGTCTGGCTTTAACAGTAATAACAGTATTATATAAAATGTTAACCTGATCAGAAGTCTATGAGAGACATTTTGTATTTTTCACTTACCAGACATTCTTGTCTAGTCCCTCGATTCTTTTGGAGTTCTTGTGCCTTGATGTCATTTTACACTGCAACACAAAACCAACATACATTAATGAATATCTGATTCAGTGGCCTTTTACATTTAGCAGTCCCAACTACTTCCTTGCATGTCAAAAAAGCTGTGTGTTGGGACTACAACACATCAGCAGCCAGTGTACATTAACAAACCAGAGGCCAGTGTACATTAACACACCAGAAGCCAGTGTACATTAACACACCAGAGGCCTGTACTACGTATCCAGTTCAACATACCCTGGATATGTTTGAGTTACCCGGATTACCTAATCCAAAACAAACGCGATCTCGCTAAGCGGTCCTACAACGCAGGTTATCAACTCAGTAACTCAAGCCAGGGTTTCTCTGTCCGGCTGAATGTACGTTCACATGAAAGGAACATTTGATCAATCACAAACATGGAGAAGCGTACTGACAGCGCAGCGACATACTTCCTGAACGAAAAGTGAACTATAATATTAGACAAATATGAAGAAGTTCAACTTTAAACATCCATGACTTAAACACTTTATCCAGGATAAAAGCCACAAGCCTGCAAGGTGAATACAGCTGGTAAAAAAGTGTCATTAACAGGTTTATGATTAGAGACGAGTGGATCTGACTTTAATTACATTTGACTCGAGTGTTTCGTCAACTTAATGTGTTGCTTAAAATAGCACTTCTGCATACAGCATACTGTATGCAGAAGTGCTATTTTAAGCAACACATTAAGTTGACGAAACACTCGAGTCAAATGTAATTAAAGTCAGATCCACTCGTCTCTAATCATAAACCTNGGGGGACTTTACTGGCATTGATCCGGACCGTTGACCTTGTATAAGATTCACAAGTGGACCTTTAACAAAAAAGTTTGAGTACTCCTGTCCTAGAGGTTCAACCTCCACCGGCTGCGGCTGCAGCTGGACCCTTCTCACTCCGATGTGTCTCATTATCATTCATATCACATCATAACGTATCATATATTTCCTTATCTGAGTCAGCTTCTTGAGCCGTATCTGGCCGTGCAACACTTACAGTGTGACATAGTGTATGCAGAAGTATTGTTTTAAGCAACACAGGGCTCAACACTAACTTTTAAAAGGGGTTGCCAGGCTGGCAACCAGCCATCAGCTTTTGGTTGCCAAAACTGAAAATACGGTTGCCATTTTTAGACATCTTATGTTTTAAATAATTAAGATACTATACAGTTATACATCAACTTAATAATGAACATGTGACACAAAATAATGTTCAAATGCTTTACAATAAGTAATTAACACAATTATTTGAAACTTAAGTGGTAGGAAACTTGTCCACCCTCAATTGCTTGTATACTGAATACCAGTAGTGCAGCTGTTGTTCTTGACAGATCACTAGTTTCTTGGTCATCCGTTGTCTCCCTTTCAAATGTGGGTTTTCCTGACCTTTGTGCTGACCCCCACCATAGATCCATTGGCCCTTCAGCATTGAAGTCTTGGATTGGCCAGAGTAATACATTTCTAATGTTAAATAAATGAAAACCATTCACAGTTAAGAATTAGATATTAATTATTAATGCTGTAAATTATGTATTCATATGTCTCATATTCACATGACTATATTTAAAATGTGTTACCTTTTTATAGAAGTGATTATATTTGTGTGCCAATATTTTTCTAATAGTAAAGTTTCGTTTTGCACTTTTATTTTGGTAGTAATAAGATCGGGACTCTTATTTTGAAGGAACTTTTACCGGAAGTGAATGGAAAACATTCCTCTTTGCTTTTCCTTCGGGTTCACCTAGTGCTTTATCAGTTGAATCACTTTGAACATTCGTTTGAGATGTTGACGGATTGGCCGAACTTTTTACCCCACAGTCAAACAACTTAATTAATTGCTTCGCCATTTTTTGTAAAACAAACACACGGCGCACCGCGCAGTGCGCACGCGAGTAAACGTGCATCGCTTTCTGGCTCCGTAATCACACCAATGCACGTGCAACTTAAGTATCAGGTTCCGACTGGTCACAACAATAATTAAATATCAGTCTTAATACGACCATTAAATTAACATTTATCTATTTGGGGTGCACATTTAGCTGTTTACTGTCCTTATTTCTTTATGTTAAAAAGTGGTTGCCACTGATGGCAACCAAAGGCCAAGAAGTGGTTGACATTTTTTCTGAATGGTTGCCAATGGCAACCTGGCAACCGTTACCGTCGAGTCCTGAGACTTCATTTTCTGGTTCAAATTTCAATAAATGTAATTTGTATAATCACTCTTTTGTCTTTATTCTACATGAAAATGTGAGAGATTCCATTCAAATCTGTTGATTATTCAGATCTTCCTCAGGCTAGGAATAGTATGTCGAACTAGCAGTTTACTACCTTACTTACCCGCGAAAAGACTGATAAATATGTGTTTATAACCGGATGCGACTTCGGCGTGACGGCGTAAAGCTCAGCTAACACTAATTCTACTTTCTTCTCGTCTATCGTGTAGGTTTGTGAGCGGCGCATTCGTTAACAAACCACTTAGCTTTAACAGCTTTAAAGACATAGATAAAAAACCTAAAAGTGTGCATTCGTGAAAGGTGCACGTTAGGATTGGCGTGCCCGCATATTTACTCCGGAGACTCGGTCCGTGAAACTTATCGTCCCTAAAGTATATTATTGGTCATATATTTATAAAATCCTAAAGCTATTACCATCAGTAGTAAGTTCTGTGATGCATTGTTTCCAAAGCGTCGTTTTATTCTTGTTCTGAAATCCTTGTGTAAAAGTGACAAGGTGTAGTCTTTACTCCGATTAACTAGGGAAGTAATCAAACAACGAATCAACTCTGAAATTGAAAAAAATATCTGTCATAAATTACGTGTGTTTATTCAACAGTATTTCGAATAAGAGATGGACAAAAATGTAAGTAGTCTGAATTTGTAATTGTTGACATCGGCTAAATTTATCAGCTTGCAGATGAAAAAATGCCTATGGCAAGGACTGTTACAAAGAGACTCCAGTCTCGTCTCGGACTTACCTCTGACAGGTAAGTATTTGCAGTCCCGAAGCGGCACTCGAGAGAGTGACCTCTTCTCTTTAGTTACCTTCCCATACCTAATCAAAACATATATTTCTATGTTCGTTGGTGAAAGAGTCTTATTTCGTTTTGATACTCAAATTGTCTTCTTTTTGACTCATTTCGTTTAATTAATTTATTTTATTTGATATTACGTTTGTTGTAAACACATTAGACATTGTGATATTCAGAAAAAAGAAACAAAATGGTATCAAAAACCAAACGTCAAGAACAAAGAAGAAGAGTTACTAGTCTGAAAGCGAGAGCGAAGAGGAAAACGCAGAGGGGTAAAAACAAATATAAACTGGTTTGCAGTCACCCGCCCTNTTGTTAAAGGTCCACTTGTGAATCTTATACAAGGTCAACGGTCCGGATCAATGCCAGTAAAGTCCCCCCCCCCGGAGCGGAGCAACAAAACTGAAATTAAGAAGCAGTTTTGGCGCGCAATGCCTAGGGGGGGTTTCCCGACATGTCGTTGCAGTAAGTTAAAGGGTGTTTCATGTTGTCGTTGCTGTGGACCTTTTTAATCTTTTTTTGTTCTTTTTTTTTTTTTAAAGAACATTTTATTTTGAAATTGTTACGTTTATTCTGTTTTTTTTTGTGTTTGTATCTTTTATTTAAAATGTATTTATTTATTGAATGTTTTGTGAGCTGAGCTGTGTGGTTTTATATTTGATGTATCTCTCTGTACAGCACTTTGGTCTGGAGGTTTTAAAGTGCTATATAAATAAAGTTGGATTGGATTGGATTAATCTACCTTATTTGGGGGCCTTCTGGTCCAAGCACTTGCTTGTCGGTAAACGGCGCCCCTGTATACACACACACATTCAATACATACATACATACAGTATGATGGCTTGAACTAGTGGGAGAAATGGCACTGTTTGTCTGTAGCCAATGCCTTGAACCTNTTATTGTGTTTATACTTGTTTCCACACATTTCACAATTTGGGATGAATGAAGTATCTATATATGATATCCATCTATCTATCCATCTGTTGTCTATATATCTGTCTGTCTGTCTGTCTGTCTGTCTGTCTAGAAGTTGTTTTGTTTGGAAAGGTTTTGTCATTGTATTGCTCTTTACCGGCACCTGCAGGGTACAGGACTTTACATTGTACTTACAATTTTACATTGTAACTTTGACCCGCTTGACTGAATACACAACAAACAATGAAGAAAGAGTTTTATCTGGGCTGCTTCGCTGCCAGCTGCTCCCCCCGGGATCCGAAAGTGGCGTATTGCCTGTAGTTCAACATCAACGAAAGTGCTCGATATATGCTATATTGAACAAATAAACTAACACAAACTAACTGTATCACAATAACATGATGAAGATGATGATGATGGTGATAAAGAATGCATCTAATGTTCCGCTGTTCATTATAATAAAAAAACTGAGCATTAAACAAACCATCATGCTCTTACTTTGAAATCATGCGGAAATGTCGTCATCAGCGGGCCATCACGTGGTTTCCGAAAATAACCGAGTGACACGAATAGATTTTAGCCGAGACCGGAGGAAAATATGTCTCGAAATTCTGTGTGTGTAAAAAGACGATCCACAAGCAGAAATTTGAGATCCGCAAGTGCATTTTTGGTCGACAAATACAAAATGGATTCACAAATGCCTGACCGAAAGTTGTAAATGTTAAAGAGATATTCACAGATCCTTTTTTATTTGTGAAAATATTTAGCGTATTTGCAGATCCGTTTTACACTTGCACATTTACTTGTGAGTTTGCAAATCTTTTAAATGCATTTGTGGAGGGTGTTTTACATTAACAAATCACATATTTACACACAAATTATTTTTATGTTCACACAAATAATTATGAGACATATTTATTCCCATACTTTCTCTACTATAACTGTTAGCTGTTATTGCGTGTAAATCTTTTGATTACATTTCAATATGTTTTGTCTCGTGGTGTTTCATATTGTTTCATTGTTTTTCTTTTCAGATCTTTTCCCTGTC